TAACTTAATGTCAGTAAAATAATAACTTTTGAAATAGAAATACTATCATCTAAAAACTTTACGTGGGTAAAATAACAACTTGTCGAAATAGAAGCACTATCATTTAACATCTTTACGTCGGTCAAATTACAGCTTTTAAGAATACAAATTCTGTGATTTAATGACTTAACGTTGTTTAAATAACAACTCTTCAAATTATATGTACTATCATTTAATAATTTTACGTCTATCAAATAACAACTTTTCAAAATAGAAGAGCTATTATCAAAATTATATTATTTTAATTTAACATTGTTAAAATAATAACTTTTCAAAGAAGTACTATCATCTTATAATTTTACGCCGTTCAAACATCAACTTTTAAAAATGAAAGTACTCCTATTCAAGTTCATAACCACTTTTCAAATAAGAAACATTTACCATAAGTTTACAAAAGCTATTTCTCGCTTATTTCAATAAATATTTTTGTTGATAATTGAAGTGACTCTCCTTTCTAAAATTAGAACAAAGTGTGCCTTTTTAAACGACACGCTCATTGATGTGAAGGATCTGTAAGTTTTCATCTTCAAGTGTTTGTAAAACAGTGAGTTTAAATCTTTCCGTTTTATGCTATTCAATTTTTTTAATGTAACACATCATAGCGGTTCACTTCATTTTTCATATTAATTTAGCAATGATTAATATAATTAATTTTAAAAAAATTTAGCAGTAAGCAGAGTGATATATCGTGAATCATCATTTTTTTAATTGCTATAACAATGTCTTGTTAAAAATTTCTGGAGATATCTTGTGAATATCATTCCTTACAATAAGTATCGAAAGGCTTAGGGGATAGAGTGCTCGCTTTTCAATGAGATGCTCGCTTTTCGGTTCGAATCCCAGCGATGGCTGGTCGATATAAATTCCGCTTCCATCTTGCACCGACCACAGTGCTGACGTAAAGTATTCTCAGTTGTAGACGACGGATAATGGATTAGAGTCCCCGTGCTATCAGGCAAACAATGGGAGGTTTTCGTGGTTTTCCTCTCCATTTAACGCAAATGCGGGTTAGCTCCATCAAAAAAATCATCCATGAAGGCAAATTTCTCCCAATACTCGATCCAGGAGTTCCCTTGTCTTCTGGATTGGGTTCAAAATTACAAGGTTACGGAGTTGAACATTAGCAGTCAGAAGCCCATAAAATTGGGTCGGCTGTTCAACGATGGTTATAAAATAAAATAAAATGAGTATCGAAAGTCTTAGGGGATAGAGCGCTCGCCTTTAAATGAGGTGAACCGGGTTCGAATCCCAGCGATAGCTGGTCGATACGAATTCCGCTTCCGGCTTGCACCGACCACAGTGCTGACGCAAAGTATTCTCAGTTGTAGACGACGGATCATGGGCTAGAGTCCTCTAGCCGTCAGCCTACCGTGGGAGGTTTTCGTGGTTTTCCTCTCCATGTAGCGCAAATGCGGATTAGATCCATCAAAAAGTCCTCCACGAAGGCAATAATCTCTCAATACTTGATCCAGGAGTTCTCTCGTCTTCTGGATTAGGTTCATAATTATAAGGCTATGGAGTTGAACATTAGTAGTCGTGAACCCAAAAGTGTGTCGCCTGTTCAACGACGGTTATAAACTATAAAATAAAATGAATATCGAGATGACGTTAATTAATTTCAACGATACTACGACGGCCAATATTAACCACAATAGAAATCAAGTACGATAAACGCGCGAGTATTATCGAAAACTACTGAGTACAAAAATATCACGATTCTTGTCAATCACAAATATCATCCATTGCAAATATCATAATTTTTTTCAAACAAATGAAGCTATAAGATAGTCAATTACAAAAACCTGAAAATAGAGTTCGATTATATTTTAACGCATCATGGAATATTTATTTTTGGTAGCAATATTTTACAAAGTTATCCTCATGATATATATTGAACAAGCCTTACCATGAAAATGGAACAGACGATAATTATTACGAATGATGTTTTCACAATCAATAATGACCACGTTATTAGTCAATACTGACCATCATATTTGTAGATATCGACCACAAATAAGATAATATCGCGAATAGTAGCGGTAAATATCGAATGCAAAAATACCGCCACTGTTATCGATAAATATCGAATACTGTAAAATAACAGGGAATCTTAGCTCAAATGCAAGCATTATCTATTTAATTTGTTTTCTGCTTCAAGCCAGTGTTTATCACAGCTCTGATATACATACCATCAATGGTCATATTCGATTATATGACCAATATGATAAAGGATCATCTATGATCAGCCTACCATTGGTGCTTTTCTGGTACCACTGCTGAAAATTTTGGATCGTGTTCAACTATAAAATGATTCAAATTTACTGCAACCATTAATATTTTAATGTTATATTGCAAATTTTAATTTGGTACGACTATAATAAGTTAACGATGCTTTCGCAATCAACAATGACCACCCTTGTCCAAAATGTTTGTGGCTATTGACCACCAATTGGATACTATCAGGAGTAGTATCGATAAAATTAATTCTCGAATGCAACGTACTAAAAGTAAATTTATATAGCCATTTTGGATTTAATTGCATTTAGGTTATTTGAGGAAAAAAATAACAAGGTTTTTTGATTCCATTATAGTGTTGTTCCCTTTGATTTATATTCTGAACCGATTTTGAAATGAATTTCCATAATGGCAAGAATCCAAAATTTTTCGAAATCAGAAAATTATTTGACGTGAAGAAATGAGCCCAGACGTACTTTCATTTCCTTTAATCTTAAGAGAAACTGAAAACCGAATGCCTCCCAGTTTCTTAATTTCCGGAAATAAAGTCGCTTATGCCTAAATGTTTTGATTATTACTATGAAAAGCGTTTTCATTTTTTACGTCACTTTATTACCTTTGGCGATAAAACTTTGCAGTTAATAATTATATTTTAAATTATGCCAATTACGTCAATTCTACAAATACATACACGTGCAGTCTTTCCATAAATTTAAAATAAGTAAATAATAAAATATTATATTCAACCTATTTTAAAAATAAATCTTAATTTAACTTTTCACTTTTAAAGTAATTGAAATTTGATTTATGCATTTTGAAATACGTGGAGGAAGTTTCATAGTAGATGATATTAAATTTATTAGCGATAGGTGACATTTTCGTAATAATTAAGAAATTGAGTGTTTAATAATTTTAATTACAATTATTTAAAAAATAATTAATTACATGAATCATTTTAATCAACACTATTTTTTGTTAGTTAAAGCGATGGAATATTTAATAACAGAAAAAACTTGTTCGAAAACTGATTACTTCGCTGTTCAAATTTCGTTAAAATTAAAGTAATTAGTAACTCTTAATTATTATAATGGGTGTACTAAACCAGAGTTTCTGTTTGAACAAATTTTCAAAGAATTTTTGCTTATTATTATTTTTTTTGGACTGTTTATATAAAAACTTAAGGTAAGTTCACAGTGAGAGGAAATAGTAACATCTCATTGTATTGCGCCCTCTGCGCTAACACTTTCAACTTGACTTTTGAAAAACTATGTTATGCGCTTGCGCAGATGACGTAACGTAAACGTTAATGACAGTAATCAAGGTGAACCCACTATAAGAATCTGCTTCCGAAGAATGTGCAAAAAATACAACTTAATTATTAACAAATTCTGTTAATAGGACGTTTCAAAATATAAAAATAAAACAGAAATGAAATAATTCAAAATTACTTTGACATCAAACAAATCCCTATTGTTTGTACGAAATAAAATAATATAACTTTAAAAATTTTGATTTAGAAAAACAAATAAATGAAAAATACATATTTCGAGGGAGGAAAATCCAAATTAAAAAAGTTTATTATTAAAATAATAAAAGTAATTAAAAATCACAAATCAAAATATCGAGTAAAAAAAGTCTAATAATTCAAAGGAGTTGAAAATTATTCCTCACATTTGTATTGCTTGTATGAAACAAAAATATTGCACTGAAAATTACGATTTAAAAAAAATTAATTCATCTACTAGAAGTAAAAATGTTAAAAAACACTCAAAATCTTTCCTAAAGTAAATGAAAATATTTCGTGAAATCAAACAGGGTCACTAAGTGATCATTTTTCTAAAAAAAATTAAATGAAGATGAATATGATAAGCATAAGATAAACATAATTAATATAACTAAAAAGATAAACATAATTAAAAAGACTCAAATTAAAATTTTAAGTTAAAAAAAATAGTTTAAAAAAGTTTAAAATTTCATTAAATTTTTATAAGTATAGTTGAATTATTTATTTCAAGTTTAAGAAACACAGGATCTAATTATGAAGAAAAAAAATCAATTTAACTAAAACCTTCCTGAAAAAAAGAAAAAAAAAACTAAACCGAAGTGAAAATTTCGAAGAGGAAAACAAGCTCTTAATGTAATCATAATTGATTAATAAAATTTTTTTAAAAGAATGAAGATTTGAAAGATTCATAGCAAAAGAGGAAAAAAAGTATTAAAAAACTGAAATTTTGAGTTAAAAAATATAACAATTCAGAAGAGTTAAAAATAAATCATCATATTCTTATTAATTAAATTAAATAAAATGATTTAACATTAAAAATGGCGACTTATATAATAATTAATTATAAAACTGTTGAGGGATTTATATTATTTTTTATATAATTGTTTAATAAGTTGAGATTTTTAAAGATCTAATAAGATAGATTTTTTTTTCTTTCTGAAGCGTTCAAAAACTCAAATTTCAATTTAAAAGAAAAGTCCTTTAATAATTTAATAGATCTAAAAATTAATCATCAAATTCTTATTCTTTGAACTAAACAAAATAATTTAACATTAAAAATGGCTAAATCTTCAATAATTCATTATAAGCATATATATAAATTCATTTCCTTAAAATTGATGGAACTAAGGATCTAATTAAAAGAATCAGTCTAAGTCTTCTCTGAAAACAAAACCGAAATAAAAAACAGCCTGAATGTTTCGTGGAAGAAAAACAAAACCTTAATGTTTACACGAAACCATCCAAAAAACAAAAAATAAGGATTTAAAAAAATGCATAGTTAAAGGGTTGGAAAAGACTGATAAGTTGAATGAGTCGTCACGTGGTTAAGAAGAGGAGGAGACTTGGTTGCCGTTGGCAACTAAAGTAAAAAAAAGGGGAAAGCCCTAGCATAAAGCACACAACACACACATCTTTTTCTCACAGTTGTAGATATGTTTATTCCCTGACTCTTAGGTAGTGTATTTGTCTCTTTTCAGAGCCCGAAAGAAGACTCCTACGTCAGCCACCGATAGGGGGCTTCTGTGCAGGCGGCCGATCGGGGCCGGTGGTCGGCGGTAGAAGTCATTTGTGGCCGCCTCATGCGAGGCTAGGCCTCAGCTCCCGCCTTGAGCATTCCTTTTTAACCAAAACAGTCTCTCGTGAGAGTGTGGCCGCTTCTCTGCGACAACTTTACAGAGATCCTCCACAAAGTAGTAACGAGTTTGCCGAAATAGCCGCCGATTCCATGCGTGTCAATGGAGCCATTCGTCAATTTAAGCAGCTCCGTAAGCCCATCACTTTTTCCTCTAGTATGTCAATTGAGTATTCTATGAAAGCCCAGAATTCTACAGAATCTGAGACGGCGGCGATCGCTCTCGTCGGTATTACCCACGACCAGCCGCCCGTCTCAGCCGAGAGAAAAGCCCCATCTTCCGGCTTCCACAAACCAAGCGTCGGCTACAGGCTCGGACGAAGGAAAGCGCTTTTCGAGAAACGGAAAAGAATCTCCGATTATGCTCTTGTTATGGCCATGTTTGGTATTATTATGATGGTAGTAGAAAATGAACTCTCTGCTGCAGGTGTTTATAATAAGGTAAGTCATTATTTTAATTATTATTATCATATGCATATATGTAACACAGACATAAAACCGCCAAAGTAGGAGAAAAAAAAATATCTGTGATAATAAATAATTTCCGAATCTGCGTTCTTTTTTTCGAAAAGATCATTAATCTAACTTTTAAAAAATTAGTATATCTAATATAAAGTTGAGAATAAACTAAACACAAAGATACAGAGATAAAAGGTACATATACACTTTGATGTACTCTGAGAAAAAAATTATGGTCATAACTATCAGAATATGGTTAAATTTTATATGTGTCTGGCTCTATGGGAACACCTAAAAGCTCCCTAATTTTTAACGCAGCATTTTAATGATTTTTGTTCAATTAACCATAAAATATAATTTTATAGTATGTGAAAAATTTCTTAATTGTGGTAAAATGCGGTAATTTTATTGCAATTCCTTATAACCTGGCATAAAAACCATCCATTTGGTGAAATTTACTTTTCAATTTTGTTTTATGTTCGGTAATAAGGACTGTAATTTGGAAAACCAGAATCTTCGGTAAATCGTTATCATATGAACGGAAAAATTACCAAATACCGATTTATAAATACTATATATTCCTGTTTTATTTTCATAATTATGCTTTTATTTTATCAGAAATGTCATTTTCATACAGATTGGAAGTTTTGTCTTTTTTTTATCTTCGTGATATAGAACTTAAATGTATGTAAAAGCTCAGGTTATCTAAAATGTATACGACACTGATATTTACATATGTATGTGTATTTGACGCATTTAATGTCTATCATTCTGATAAAACCCTAAATGTATAGTTAATTAAAAGTAATCAAATTACATAGTCATCATTACTTAATTCTAGAGCTATGTAGTGAGCAGGTTTTCCCTCTGGGCGATTCTTGAGTAAAAATGATCAATTTCAAAGTCATCATTGTCTAATTTAAGTGTTATAAATTAAAAGCGATATTCTTTATTTTTATTGAATGTGAAAAAAGTAGTAAATATATGGCCTCATCAGACTGCTGCTAAATTAATTAAAGCACTACTGTTTACTAAACCATATTAGCACATCAGTACCTAATTTTAAATTACATAGATTAAGAAAGTACCCCAATGTAAAAAGTACACTTACGTTACGGTTATGGAGTTTTCCTCAGCTAGCCGCATTTTTAGTTATAAAAAATCAAAAGATAGATTCAGATTCAATCGAGGATTTCGATATTTTAATTCATCGCCGTAAATACGCATGTCTGGCATTTTATCCAAGAATGTTTAAATTTTAATAGAAAAAAATATTCTGTAAAATTGGATAGTAAAGTGTTAACAAAAAATATCTAGTGTCATCTTTTTCTTATAAATGTGTGTAAAATATTCAAAAATGTTTGTTTAGATCTGAATAAAAAAATATCTTAATGAGTTTTAAACACTAAAACAGTAGTTTAATTATTAAAATTTCAGATGGATTAAATTGAATAGAATTCCAATTCCACTGGTTATTTGTAGATAAAGAAATTCTCTGAAAAAAAAAAGAAAATAATTAACGAAAACAGCATTTCTTTATTTGAATTGATTGAGAGTTTTTTTTTTTCATTATTAATAGCTTAAACAATTTGATAACTTGAGCATTTAATATGCATTAATAACTTAAACATTTGATGATTGAATAGATTTTCAAACAAAAATATGCATTTGTCAAAGAATAATAAATATAAAACGAAAACTATTTTTTAAAAGACACTAAGGAATCGAGTTTCAAAATACAGTAAACAAATAACGCTATGAAAAATAAACCTCCTTTAAACGTCTAAAAAAGTTTGTTTTTTGCAATCGAAAAAGGATAACAAAAAAGGACTTTCTACAAAAAAAATAAAAATAAAATAAATAAAAAAATCTTCTTTAAGCACCTCTTTTGCTATTCTATTATATTTTCTTTTCTATGCACCGATGCATTGTGGGAAAGCATACGATCACACGAGGAAACGTAAGATCGACAATTGAGAATTTACGGGTTATTTGAATAATGCTGCCTGCGACATTTTGTTTTAAATTTTATATTTAATTTGAAATGTAATATTTTTCTTAATGTTTGAGTATAACTCTTAAGTTTTAAAATACAACCAATAAACACACGTCCTATATCTTATTTTTAAAAAATTAACAAATAATTTGTTAAATTTGCACATCTGAATTTTCAGATGCGCATCTGAAATTTTACTTAACACACAGATGAAGAGATATTAAAATATATATTTGAAATTATGCTCTATACGATACTAAATATATTCTTTATATTATTAGAATTAAAAACTTCAAAAACAGATAGTAATCAAATTTAACTTATATCTTCATTAGCTCTTGTGTTCAACAAATAGGACATTTCCTAGAATTTTTCCGCGTAAAATTTAATATTAGTATTTAAAAGGAAAATTCTGAACGTATGCATTGTCGAAGTGATTATCCATCTGAAAAATAACTATATTTAACTTTGTTAATCGGGATTTATAAATACGATGAAAAATTATAATTACGAAATTTCATTTATGTAAAATTATGGCATATTTGAGCTTATTTATTTATTATTTCAGTCTGGTAAGTATTGTGTCATGACCAAAGTGCAAAAAATGCACCATAAAAATATCCTTCAATATGCAAAAAATTAAATTTATCATTTTATGCAATTAAAAATAAGCAAAGTTAATAATAATTAATAGAAATATTTTTTTGAAAAATATTTTTTCATATTTATGTTTAATTTTTCTAAACTACATATTTAACTTAAAATCGTATTTTCGGCCATTATTTAAAGCTCAATTCTCAGAAGGTTATTGAAATAATTTAAAAAAGTTAGTAACAACAATAATTCAAAGATAGCTGATTTTTCATAATAAAACAAACGTTGGTTAATTACTTCAATTTTGAAAACAACGTCAAGTATTTAAAGCAGCCACCAATCAAGCGTATGTTTCTGAGACTTTTGGTTCGTAGACAAAATAAAATAAACTCAGCAAATATTGGAAATGTTTTATTTATAAACACATGATATGTAGCTCGACGTCATAAATCAAAAATGTTTTTGAATAAATGAAATAGTTTTGGGCCAAGCATTTGTAAGGTTTATGTTATCGGTTTAAGTTTAGTTTAGTGCTTTGTGACACAATGCATTGGGATGCATATTTGAAACGAAAATTTTATATTTTTAAATAAAATTCTTCTGTAAATTATATTTTAAAATTTTTAATTTAATTTGTAAAATTAAAGTGAAACAGAGATTCTTTCCAATGATGTGAAATGGCATCGAAAACTTTGATTTTTACACGCTTCTAAGTAATAACCATCCCTAAAAAATATTTTTAAAATCTTTGTCAAAAATGAATTACGAAAAGGATGAATATTATTATTGAAGATCACGAAATAATCTTGGAAAAATATCAAAATAAAAACTAAATCTGTCTTTAGTGAAGAGGACATGATTAAAAACATACTTCAAAGCCAGTTTAATTGCTGGAAAAACTTTAAGAGATTTTTACGGCAAATGATTCCTAAAAGTAGCTACTTATAGAGAGTTTTAGCTTGACCTGAAGAATTAATGTTATTTTCTCAATTTTGCATGGCATTTTGAGTATAAATATACACTCTATATACTAATAAATCACTAGAGCAAATTTAAAATTATATTTCAATCAGAAGTTTTAATTGAGTTGGTGGGCCGGGATAGCCTGATTGGCATGGTTCTGAGCTCTCGCTCGTAAGAACCGGAGTTTGAATTCAGCCGACCAAAGACCCCCGCGTAGTAAATGGTGACTGGTACACGTTAAATCTGTCGGGTCACGAAATCCTCCATGTTCCCATAACAAATTATACCTTTTGGGGTACGGGATTGGAGATTGATCATTCTCTAATTCAGATCAAAAATGCGATCTGTTGATGAATGAATGGATGTATGAATAGATCCGTTTCCTAAACGAGTGTGACGTATGAGCGTGGATGAAATCGAATCGTCGGCCATAGATGGCGCCACTGGAAAACAATAACAATCGTACCTCCTTAATGGCCTACGTTAACAACAACAATTAAGTTGGTGAAACAATTTAGTCAAAATTAAATAGTGCTAAAACTACACAATTTAAATTCACTCTCCTTCAGTGATTCCTTAATGTTAGTTAAAATACAAGAAGGCCATTATATATAGTTCATACTCTATATGAAAATGTTAATATTTAGGAATATTTTTGTTACAATCGTAGTATTTGTAAAAGATAATTTTTTATAACATTAAGCTCAGATATGTCAGATTTTATTGGAAGATGTTATCGATCATATTATTAGCGATCATGTTTAGAATTGCACGTTTGACACGGAAACAAAAATGCTCAAATTTACGGAAAATCCATGAAAAATTTTACATATTTTACTTGAATACAAATACAGAAACCTTATTCTTTAACATTTAAGAATATTTTAGGTTCAATCATGTTATTTGTCAAAGATAAATTTTTATAACACTAAGCTGTGTTATTCCAGGCTCTTTCTGAAAGTGTTATCGATAATTAATATTAGTGATCATGATTTCGATTGCAAATTAGTCACGGCAACAAAAAATTTTCAAATTCATGGGAGATTCACGAAAAAATTTGATAACTTAGGGGAACACAAATGCGGAAATACACACATTATATGCAATTGAAGATATAGGCATATTGAAAATAATTAAATGTCACTGCTTGTAAACGGAGAAGGAAGAACTGAAAAAATATGTGTATTTTCTTAATTTTATCCAATGTGAAAAATTTAATAGAAACACGAAACACAAGTTTTTAACAAATTGTAGCATTTAGAAAAAATCGTGGATAGGCGGAAAAACATTAAAAATTCGCGACCAGCCTGCAACCCTAATCATAATTGTTAGACCCACAAACAATATATAACTGTTTCAAGTAAATATTGCATCTGATGATATGCCATTTGTGACTGAAATAAGATTATCAAATCAAATTTTATGTGTA